TTGATAGTCGACTCGTATTAGGTGCTCAGATGGCAGTACTCTCATAATGGACAGCTATATTTTGTTGAACATCTAGAAATAATCTATATCCTAATATAATCATGTAGCGAAAATATCACAAATATGTACTCTCCAAATTTGGTTAGTGCAACTCTCTCGGTTCCAAAAATACATACAATACCTATGTTTTCAGCCACGAAATTTGGATAATTCCAAATATTTCGAATTTTCACCACCAAGAACGGTGGTGACAACATTTTTAATATTAAGGCTATGTTTCGCATTGTATTAGCTATGCTCTGTCCAAATTTGATTAGTGCAACTCCCTCGGTTTCGAAAATACAATACCTATGTATCTTTTCAGCAAGGAGAATTAAATAATTTCAAATATTTCGAATTTTTACCATCAAGAACGGCGGTGACAGCATTTTTAACATTAAGGCGATGTTTCACGTTGTATCAGCTATTTCCTGTCCAAATTTGGTTAGTTCAACTCTCTCCGCTTCTAAAATACAAGACCTATGCATGTTTTCAGCCACGAAAATTTAATAATTTCAAATATTTCGAGAATTTGTTAATAATGATTAATTTTTATTAAAGTTTGGTGCTCAAAATGACTGTTCTAGACAGGCGGTTGTTGGGACGCTTAATTCGTGACGTCATTTAGTGCGATCGAGAATCGAGAAGATGAATGACAGGCACAGAACCTGTGAGGTCCTACAATATGAACATAGCAAGTAACAAAAGTCTAGAGGCAACCTTGTGTAGAAGCTAATCACATGCATGTTTTTTTAGATTAGGATCCGTTTCGTTCGCGTATAAATTGTAAATTAGATGCCAGAAAGCAGAGGAGCAGGTTGTGTTTTCGATCGCACTGAATGACGTCATAATGTTCTTGACCCCGTGCCAAAATTTGAAATTTTACAGAATTTTAACCGTCTATAATTAATTTGTGGAATTAAATAAATAAACTTTTTCACTTATGTTAGTTGTTGTTTGTTATAGACAACAAAGTGCTGTTTTAAAAGGAGGTAAACTTTGGAGATATTAAACATTTTTCGAATATTGATTTAGCTGCAACTGCAATATATTTGGATGAGGAATATATGCGAAAAAAGACAAGAGAAATGTAGGTACTCGATATTTAAAGAAAATGTAAAATTTTACTCTACCTATATGAAGAATTTACCAATGACGAAATTAAATTCTCCCAGTATTGTCATAAGAAAACAAAACATACATTTTACTACATTTTTAGTAAAATTTCTTCAGGCTTGATAAAAAAATGCAAGCGGTTATCACACCATCGGATATGTTATGTACTTGCTTAACATAATTAAATTTAATTAGTAGAGACGAAGTATAATTAATTGGGCTGTAATACAAAATGATAACATCCCAACATATTTGTACGTTTGTTTAATAGGTCAGATTTTTGTAAAGTGATAATGTTTTTTCTGTGTAGAGACAATTTCATGCACATACGTTTATCTACCTATATAATTTATAAAGAATTTGTGGATCGATATTGTTCAACGCAGTCTAAATAAAACAGATTACCTATGTGTGGTGCAAATGAATATGAATATTATACAAATATTTCCATATATTATACATGATACTTATGGCAATGTTAAATGACTGACTGCGAAATATATATGTTTACATTTTCAGATATAGTTAACCGCCATGCTATCGCATGCCTGAATTGAATTTACAAGATATAGAAGTCTAATATTTTAATATTATACTGTTTGTAATCACCACGTATTTGTGGCATAAATATAGAAAAAATTATTACTGTAGTGTCATCTGAAACACTTACCGTAAAATGTATCGAGATGCCAGAACATGTTCTAAAAAGTTTTTGAAATTCCTACGTCATAAAAAAACATCATGTATATCCTAAAAGGAACTTTAATTGCAACATTTTATTATCAAATTTAATTTTATTTCACTTCGTAAAACACATGAGGTTTTAACTTAGTATATTTTTCAAGGATCTTACATAATTTATTTGATTGATACGTCCATGTTTTTAGAAATTAATCAAATTCAGCATACCTAAACAAGTATCTGAAACATTTCATTCTCCCATTGCTAATTAACAAATTGAATTCCCTTATTAACGACTTGTCATTTATATCATTGATATGAAATGGCAAGCAACGTTAGTACTTGGGTGGGTGACCATTCGGGGAACGCTCGCGATAATCGTCCACCTTCTAGTGGCGTTTGTGTCGGTTTGGAAGATATACAAATTTAGGCGATGTTTGTATAGAAAGACATACCATCCCCCGAATACGATGCAAAACTATTGGACTCTTATCTAAACAGTGAAAGTAAAAGATCCCTATTCCACGACAAATTGGAAGTTCGGCAAAATTCCCAGGTTGGGGTTGCTCGTTTCCTCATCATAAAGAAGTTTGCCTGCTGGATGTCTTTTCATTAAATAAAGTAAAAAATGAAATAAAAATAAAATAAATATATTAGGGTGGCCCAAAAAAAAGGAATATTTTTTTTGTGTCTCTTGTGAAAATATATTAGTTTATCATGTTTTAAGAGCCCTTTCGAAAATCAGCTCAAAAAAAATTTTTTTAGAGGTCGCTCAAGATTTTAAAAAATTTCCAAAATCGCAAAAAATTTAATTTATTTATTTTTCTTTTTTTCCTCGTTATTTTGTCATTTTATAGGTCGAAAAAAATCTCGATTCTGAAAATTTCAAATCGATATTTTAATTTCTAAAGGTCGGTCATAATTATTTTAACTTTCAAAGTAGTGTACCTACCTATGTTTTCGAGCGACCTCTTAAAATAAATACCAACGAACTAATAGTTTTTTTATTGAATTTGATGAACAAAAGAATAGAAATAAATTTCGAGACATTTAAATTTAAAAAAATAAAAAAATAATAAATATTTCAAACTCACAGTGCGTAGTAAATTTTGCCTTGAGAAATTTTTTAAGTGTCTCGTGATTTATTTCTATTCTTTTGTTCATTAAATTCAATAAAAAAAATATTAGTCTGTTGATATTTATTTTTAGAGGTCGCTCGAAAACATTTTAGGTACAATACTTATGAAGTTAAAATAATAAATTATGAGTGACCTTTAGAAATTAAAATATCGACTTGAGATATTTTTCAACCTAGAAAATGATAAAATAACGAGAAAAAAAATTCAATTTTGAGCAACCTCTAAAAAATTATTTTGATCTCATTTTTTGAGGGTGCTCCTAAAACATGATAAACTAACGTATTTTCACATGAAAAAAAAAAAAATATTCGTTTTTTTGGGCCATCCTAAAATATACAGTTTCTAAAAAACAGTCTTACAAAGATCTTTTTTATGTAAGAGTCTATTTATTGTCTGGCGTTACTTATTTGTAGCATAATATTTATTTTTATCTTTATTTATTGGGTAATTTGCCACCTGCGAAAAATGAACATAATTTAAATAATTACTGAAATAAATCCTTAAGCCAACAGAATCATACAAGAGTTATTTTTATGAAAATTGTTTTGTCTAACAAAAAATCTCACATTGAAAAAAGTAATACCAAATACTAAACGTTTCAAAAATCAATGACTGTTTTTAATTATTTTTGATGGTTTAAACCTGTTTGTTTGTCTGTTTCTCTTATTGGAAATACTAAAGGATGAAGTAATTAACGATAGGTTAAACTTTAAACAATATCTTCAAACTATGGACACAGGTAAAAAACAGTCAAATTTAAATTGCCAAAAATTATTAAAAAGTCTTTATCAATTTAGAAGCCGAAAATAGATTGATTTTTGACACTTTTTGATGTGCATACATGTATAGTGACGTGTATTTTGTATTTTTCTGCTTTTTCAGTGTGAGATTTTTGGTTGGACAAAGCTATTATCATAAAAATAGCGCCCGACTGATTCGTTTGGCGCAAGATTAATTTTCCAAAATTTGTTCAAAGGTGGCAAAATATGTAATAAATATAGAATCAAAAGGGTCTATTTAAATAACTAACCTAAAAAATCAAAACTTAGCTGATATAGCTCCAAAGTGGAGATAAATATTAATTCTTTTTAAATTATATTTTTTATGAAACACAATATACAAATATTTGATATAAAAAAAATTACATGCTTTTAATGGCTGTGAAAATTGTGAAAAATTTATATAATACTTCTTACTACCTAAGAGACGCTAAATTAAAAGTTTATTTTAAATGTAAAATGGTGGATTCGATTACGTATACGTATTTGTGGTTTCCTTCGGGTTATGCGCAAAGAAAAGAATCAAAGTTTTCAGAAAGGATCCAAATGGTTTTGCCTGAGGGCTGTGTTCGATACGTCAGGATAATTGAAAAAAGTTTGCTTATTTGCTTCGAAATACCATATTTTTTGTAGCAAGAATTCGAAACAATCTACCAGATTTAATTTATTTGATTTATTCGAATTGCTTGAAGGTGAAAACATCTATAAATTCTGGAATTTTCCTGGATGCAGATACGCGTTAGACAATATTAAAATAAGAGCTAGAACGTTTCGTCTTTTACTCAAAGGAAAATATAATACTCTTTCATTTCATGTTTCATACAAACAAAGGAATCAAAATTTTGAAGAATTTGTAGAAATTAAAATTGGACTCGAGACGATTCGAAAGGAAAAATTTAGACTCAGTTGTTGCGGGATTTGGAATATATTTTCTAGTCTTTGTAACGTTTGAAAACAAGTGCATATTTATGTCAAATGTTAGATTGTTTAATTACACAAAGCGTTCCTTTCAATGAATGTTAAGTTATAGTAATTAAGACTGACGAAACTTCAAATAGAATAGAATATAATATGGAATATATACACAAGTCATCGTAACAACTTCAACTGTGACTAAAATTTTCCATATGAACAAAAAGGTACATTTATCACATTTTACATGACATACAAATTTTAATTAAGGTACGTGACGTTTTTTTGGGAGTGTGTTATTCATTAATCTACTTAGAACATAAATTTTAATTACCGTTTTTGTCCATCGCTACCAAACCATGACCGCGTCGCAGATGTATTCGCAGTTGGAAGAAGGAGTGTTGCCGCAGGGCGGCTTCTCTTCGTCTCGTAACCTCATCGGTGGAGGATAGCTGGAAACGGAAACATTGATTATTATTTTTGGCATCGCGATTACGTATTTTATTCGTAAAGATCGTTCGAACACAATACTATAAAAAATTGCTTATCTGTTGTTATTAGTACTGGTCAAACTATAGACTGTGTTTTGTACAGGTTAATATTTAAATCTTGTGGAAAATATAGAGCGAATCGGTAATAGATGTTCTTTCCGTCAAGAAACCTTAGGTGATTCCCAAATCATCACAGTCGAAATGAGATATATTACCAAAAACACATTTGAAGACAAGTAGAAACCTTCGAAAAGCCATGTGAGCGAACAGAGCGAGAGTTAAAATTTTCACGCAACTTTCGAATTCTCGAATAAAGCTGTAGAACCGGCCAGAGCGACACCATTGTTAAGCCTCAGACAATGAATCCAAAGCACTCCGGTAACAAAATTTTCACCCACGTTTTGATTTCAGACGGCAAGCTGCCAAAACCCCGCGTTCGTACTTCTACCCAGACAACTTGATGTCTATTAACCAAGTAAACAGTTCCTGGCCACCACGAAAGACTCAAACATTCTTGGCGATCGCGAAAGTCCTGATATCCTTAGCTGCTCAAGATACTTTGTATGTTCTAGTAAACAATGAATTTTATACACAGTTCGCCATTCTACGTGTATTCAAAGAACTAAGAGTGTAAGACAGTGTTTTAATCACTTTGTCGCGAAAACAGACTAAATGTGGGAAAAGTAGTAGTAGTCGCAGACTTATCCAACAAATGCGTGTAAACTTTTTAAACATTTTTCAGTTGTCAGTTCAGAAGCGAATACCCCTGATCTGAAAATGTACTTTTATCTTTTAAACACAATGCCAATTTAAATGCCAATTAAAACTTTTCAGTCCATTAAATATTCCCTCTGGCCGAACTATTGGACCCGTTAATTAGTTTTCAATTCCAGTTGGCCTAATTCCAAGATAGTCCCCGTTGAAATAAATTTCACCATATCTAGTGCAACACGGTAGTATCTGACTGTATACGCATAACTAACTTCTGAAATTAAATTCGTGCAACAGAGAAATTTTGTAACAGACGGCATTTGTGAAAGTTTGTTTGTAAACTAACTGTGACTAAAACAGATTAATTATTATTGTATAAAAAATAATTTGAAGGGGTTGCGGCAAATAGAATTGTAAACATATTTAAAGTCATGTAGCACTTTTAGCGCAAGATAGTTGGTGAGAATTGGAACCGAGTGTACATAGAAATAAAATAATAAAAAGAACGTTGGAAACGTAAACAAAGATTGAGTTGTTTGTTTTTATACTTCGTAAGTCTGTCTTGTCATTAGTTTTATAAAAAGTAATTTTTCTGTAAAAAAGTCATTTTTCTGTAAAACCCATTAATTAAATAATAAATAAATAATAAAAACTATCGAAGAAATCGCATTTTCCACTACAAAATACAGTCCACAAAACTTATATGTATTTATAAAACAATAGTTCTTGTGCCAGCGGTTTGGGTTCCTAAAAATAATATTTCTTTTTGTTTTTAAAAGCTCACAAAGCTATAGAGTTACATATCAATTATGTGTTACCTCTGGATAATAACCGAATATACAATAACTCATGTTTGACAGACCTATAACATTACTGACATTTTTTTAATAAGACGCTCTATATTTTATAGTGTAAATAGATAGCCCTTCTAAAGACGAATTCAACGATATAAGGTTATACCTATTTTTTTGTCACAGTTGTCAGAAATTGGAGGAATTAAATGAAAACAATAATTCAGTACTACTTTTTATTTTATTATGTTCAAAGTGGCCTCCATTAACCATTGCGCAATGCCAAATTCGGTGTTCAAAGTTATCAATTACATTTTGTATAATTGTATATATTTTGGTGTTATGTTTCGAACTTCTTCTCTGATACGATTTTTCAATCCTTCAATAGTGTCTGGTCTGTTCACATACACTTTGCTTTTTAGATAAATCCCCCAAAAAAATTTAGTGGGGTTAAGTCAGGGGAGCGTGATGACCATTCAACCAAAATATACGGTAATTTCTTACATCGAGGCGAAATGTCGAGGGGAACCATCTTGTTGGAACCATATATCACCAGCAGGTGGTATATCGTTAGGAAAAATTAATTCCAGGGCTGGAATCAGCTGAAAACGCAAAAAATCCAAATAAATGTCGCCCGTTAAATTGCCTTCAAATAAATAAGGTTCCAGTATGCGATTTCCTACTATTCCAGCCCAAATATTCACTTTTTCCGGACGTTATGTTTTTCTTGTATCCCTTGTGAATTTCCTGTGCTCCAAAACCTAGTATTTTGCCTGTGCACAGTTCCGTTTAAGCTTCGTCAGTGAAAATTATGTGATTTTTTAAGTTGGCTTTCAAATAAATTTCTAAATTCCTCGCAAAACTGTAATCGTTTGTCTGTGTCATCTGCCCATAATTCTTGTCAGACGGTAACTTTGTAAGAAAGACACTTTTGGGACTTCAGAGTTCTGTGAACTGCGGACTTCGACAAGTTGAAGTTGGCTGAGATAGATTTAATGTAAAAGACAAAAGAACCTATGATTGTTTGAAATAGTCGTCAGTACGATATAAAAGACAATTTTTAAAATTTTTTTAAGAACTACGACAAAAAAGTATAGGTACTTATAACCTTATATCGCTGAAATTGTTTTTAGAAGGGCTATCTATTTATACTATAAAATACAGAGCGTTCTATTAAAAAAAAATCTGTAATGTTATAGGTCTGTCCAAGATGGCTCAAAAAAATTGAAAATATTGCAGAAAAGTGACATTTTCTATTTATTAATTGACCTTTTTCAGCGATTTTTTTAAATCTGAACTGCAAAAAAAATTAAATTTGTTCCATCATTTTGGGACACACATTCTACGCCGTCGATTGGAGGAATCGCTATTTTAGTATCATCTTTTAATTTTTAAAACATTTATTATGAAAAGAATGAACTCTTCTTTTATAAAGGTAAAGTAAATAAAATTCGGAATAAGTGAAGTTGCTGCACAATATTCTGATTGTTTAATTTATTATTCATATTTGTAGTGACCATTTCAGCAACTTTGCCATGGAGTTGCAATAGTCGTGTGAAATAAGCTTTACAGTTACATTTTTCTAAATAATCTATTAGAACACGGGTACAATCCTAGGAAAATATTTAAAATAAACACAACTACGTAGAGCAATACCGGGTAGTCCAGCGAAATGTGAATCGTTTAGACAATAAATGCTTCCTAATGAACTAAAATAATTTGAAATATCGGCTACATCAATAACTAATAAAATTGAGAAAACCTATTCCGCCATTGCCGAAATACATGATACTGCTCTATAGTTGTGTTTATTCTCATTTTCTAAACAGGCAACTTGCATGAAAATTTAACGTCCTTTAGAAGTGCATGCATTTGTATTCTGTAACCGAAAATAACTAATAGCGGTAAAATAATCAATTTCTTCATGCTACAAATAAATTATAGATAGGTAAAATTAAATAAATATTTAAATTTTTTTCACACACAAATAACACACCATGACGTCATTTAGTGCGATTGCCCTGTCGATTGAAAAAAAATTATATAAAGCACCTTGTATCTCAGTGAGAAGGAACATCTAAATGTTAAGTTTAATCTTATTCTGGGCCACGATTATCCAGTTGCCTTAATTAATGAAACACCCTGTACAACAAAAATAATTTTAAAAGTGAATAAAATGCTTTGATGCAATTTTTATTTGAAATATTTTTTATTTGTTTATATGTATTATCGGAGCTATAAAAGCATCCGTTTAGCGGAATGCCCTATATTGATTATAATATCTTCTTGTTTAATATCCATGAAAAATATAATAGAAGGAAAACAACAATATTTAGAAGATATAGGTACCAAAAAGTGCAACATGAAAGGCTAGAAATTGATTGTATTATTTTCTAACAAAGCACAGCATAGTAAACGATTATATAACAGTTTTTAAAGCAGAGCATACTACGCTAAGATTTTTTTTTTCTTAGCTGAAACTCGACAAAGCTCAGGAAAAGGAAATATGCAAAATGTATTAGAGCGAAATTGAACAAACCGTTGACTTTTATCTTTTATTGTTAGATTTAACCTCATTATTTTTTATCTCCTGCAGTCTTATACCGAGAAACAAGAATAATAGACATCCCTTTCACAAAAACTGGTGTAAATTTTCTCTGTCGTCCTTTCATCTATTACATTACGACTGACTTTTCACCATTGACCCTCGCGCATTTCCTCACCCTTGAACCGGAACCTAAATATCTGACTGACCTTAATATTAATCGATCAAATCGGTAGCAAGTTCTTCAATGAATTTAAAAGACGATATGGCTTGTAAGAAGTTGGAAATATGATATGTTTAATGTCCGATTACGTTTAACGGATCTAATTATTGAGATATTTCAAACTGAACTAAAACAATTAAAGTTAAAACTTGCGGCGTCTTCTTATTTGTAAAATGTGATTATTCTTCTTTTCTGACTAAACCCGTATTTAACCATTCTTGAGTTCTCGAACAACTTTGTTAAACACAGTTTTAACGAGAACAAAAATTGAAATTAAAACTTAAATGAAATAATTATAAAAACATCTTTTTGATTGACGAAAAGTGTATTCCATTATTATGAGAGATCATCTACTTGATTTTTTTTTTCTTTTCTTAAAATATTGTCAAAATATTGTTATTTTTCGATATACCCTGTATTTTTCAAAATAGAATTTTATACGCGATTGAAAAACACAGTTTACAATTGCTGGAAATAGATTAATCACTTACAGGAAGCAGATCAAGGCCGGCCACGGCTCCTGGGGTTGGCGCCCGGGGTCTGGGGGACCCACCCGGTGAGCTGGTTGTGTCACCGCCGCCACAGGCGCGGCTCAGTGGAGAATCTGAAATAACACACCCGTTTATTCATTACCTTTTTCATTCTGGGTAGAAATCATAATATTACTTTTGGGAGCCATGTCAAGAGATATTAATTAAATCTATACATATAGAAAATGCAAAAATTATATGAATGTATGAAAAAGCTCTGTGATTACACTTTCCCAATTTTCATTATAATACTTAATAAAATAGTCATTTTAAAAAAATAGAAAATGGGTAATTATAATTTGTCGTAATATTGTTTTTTTGAAATTTGCTTATTTCTTCTCACACGTTATTACTTGCTAAACAAAAGCATCTGAATGATCTGTCTGTCACTGAGTAGTAGGTAGAAAGCAAAAGTATTTACTAATTTGAATATACAGTGTCGCAGAAATTTTCCAACCACAGATTCGTGCAACCAGTTCGTACTGGAGAAATCTTATTCAATAATTTAATTTATTTGAGTATAATATACAGGGTGTAAGAGAATGACTGCCATAACTTCAGCATGAGATAGAGTAATCATAAATGAACAAAAAAGTTGTATATTACAAGGGCGTAAGATTAACACTTTTCAAAATACAGCGAGTATTAATATGGGGGAGTTTCATTACAACGTGACAACAGCGCTACACAGCTGATGCACAACACGTGTGCACGCGGCAGACTTGTCCTACGGGAAAAACGTAAACAACTAAAAGTATTTCATAGAGAATTTGATGGGCTAAAATTTTCCGTAGGTCACTCAGGTATATAAGTTATCTTAAAATAGCAATAAATAGGCATCTACGTATATAATTTAAAGAAGATTCTACAACTTTCTCAAAATACTTAAGATGTCTTATTAAATATTAACTTTATTAACTTATTTGGTTGTTAATTATAATAGTATATTTCGACTTGTAATTTTTTTGTTTATCAATGTAACATGGAATCTTACGTTTTTCGAGTAATTAAAGTGTAAATTTTAATAAATAGCTCAAAATTGTACATAGTGATTAGAAAAAAAAATTCGGATTCTAGTTTTTTTCGTTTCTTTGCATTTCCTGAGAAAACTTACCATTGTAATGTATATTTTTTTTCACCATCAGAAAGTAGAGGTTTCAACGAAGAAAAAGCCCACCGACGTTTTTAAAAAAGCGTGAGAATTTTCGATTGAAAATTAGGGTGCTTTTTCGATATTAAGTAAAAATAAGGTGAAAAAATAAATATTTCAAATCAAAAAAATTACAGCGTGTTTGGGACATAAATAGGTAAGTTTTCACCAAATTTCGTGAAAAAAATTTTTTTGTTAAAGACAAAAATAAAAAAAACAAAAACTTGGTTATTTGAATTTTTCACATAAATTTTGAGGTTATGTGAAAAAAGTGTAAATACAAAAGTTGTAGATCTTTTTATTACCTACAACTTTGCCTTTTAACTTTTTTCCATAAGACTTGTAGTTTTTCCGGAAATCAAGGGAAACCGTTTTTTACCCTTAAAAACTCACCCCCTTCCCCTTCCCGACCTCAGATCGCATGTAAATTATTTTTCCTTTCATTTCTGTTATATTCTCTTTCTTTTCCAATGGGTTTCATCCTACTATAATTTCTTTTGGTTTCAAAAACTATCGATCCTGGTCTACTGAGCTTTGATACGTTTGAAAAATTACCTATGAGTGATACGTTTAAAAACACAATACCTTTAAATAATTTGTTTCAATGCATGTAAAACGATATTTATGTAAACAAATGTTCGTTTTGTCTTCATACAGAATGTATACCATCATTGGAAGTCACAATTTACACGGAAGCTGTTTTTGACCTTTAGAAACACATGTTATAAGTTTGCTTTTTCAAATTCCGTCGCGAAAATAACCCTATAATAACAACCGCGTTCGCTGATTGCAAGCACGAGCTATGACATGCATTGTTGTCAAATACCTATCAGATTTCTTGATTCGTATAGTTTCTTTCATAATATCACACAGAAATTACATAATTAGCAACGAAGACATATAAACCCACCGTACTGAATACAGTGTCGTAAAATTACATGCTGTATTATAAACATCTTCTCGTAAACCATTAAACTGAAAATTAGAATAAATGTAAAACAATGAAGCAGTTATTCGGCCATTCTCGTTTCACCGAATTGTTGGCTGTTGGTTTCTCACCCGCCTAGAACCTTGTTGTTATATCGGGTCAGGTGAATTAATATTATGTAATTTATCTAAACTATGTCAATATCAGAGTTCATTGCCGTTGAGATTCACAAACACAGTGCTTTAAAAAATAGCAATGCTTCTTATTAAAAACTGGAAATAATTTATAAAATATTTGATATCAAGTTAGTATTTTTATTTATTTTAATATTAATTAATATTTAATAAATCATGCAACAAGTATTAAATTTGTTAAAAAGGTTTGAATGTTTTTTTGTATCGACCCTTTTTCCGTATTGACTTTAAAATGACACGCCACAAGATATTCAAAAGCAATTTGTTTTTAATAAATTCTTTTGCATTACAAGTTCATTCGCTGCTATTCTATTAATTTCATACAGTTTGTTTAAAAAGGTAACACTGATAAGCACCTACCTACCACCGAGTTTGGGAACTGCCTGATAGAAGCGTAGACAACAGTTTAAATGCATTTTAAAAATGAATTATATATGTCTTTAATCGACATAAAAACATATTTATTTCAGTTTAGTATTCTGGGGAATAAGTAGGTACATATCTACTATTAGCCCTAGAACTTGACCCCCAATGAAAGTCACATCCTGTATACGTAATATCTTATTATTTGCCCACGGAACACTATGAAAACAAAATGCATTTTTATATCTATATGTGTCGATTTCGATTAAAGATTTACCTAACCTTAAAATTGCTTAATAAAAAGTTTGAAGTGTATTAATAGGTTTGTTCCTAGTGGTTTAGCATCAGTTTCCAATAGTCGCAATTGCATTTGTATCCAAACAATGAATTTTGAACCTTATATAAGAATTATACCGGAATCTGTTTTGAATTGATTCTAGGAACAAAGCTAATATGTTTTAATGAACCTTAAAACTGTACACAGCGTTGAAGGGAAACATGCGCAGATTTATACTTGGATATATTGCACCTCTAAAATTTTACACAAATTAGTTTTTAAGGGTTATATACCTAGTTATACATTCTACAAATACTGAGCTTTGGCACAATGAAATTGTTCTAAATCTATTAATGCCCCAAAGTACACGCGGACACTTTTCATTATATTATTTTCCAACAAACATTTCTATACGTATGAGTTAATAAATAATATTACAAATATTCTTACTCATTTGAATATGTTCCTGTGAGTTATCCTGATTTTTTTGTGTTTGTGTAGCCGAAATACACTTCATTTACTGTTATAAACGAAACAATATTCATTCAATACCTGAAATTGACAACTATGGCGCAAACACGTCCATTTTCACAAATGAATAAGCCGTACATTTAAACGCTAATAATAATTATAGAGTAATCAATGACATGCAAATACCATTAAACAATAAATAAGGAACAGGGTCGCGAGGCAATTTAATAGATATATTTTTGTTATTGTGTCTGCACTAAGTTAAATTTCCGACACATGCAAATAATTTCCTCAGATTGATACATGATAAATTTAGAGGTTCTTGTTACGTTATGCCTATTTAAATTTTAAACAAAACAAACGTTTAGCTGAATTAAAATATTTCTGTGGCATATACCCGTATTTCGAAAAATTTAAAGCTTTAATACTGAATTTTTTAGTTTGCATAAAAAGGGGATTTCTGGGAATATTTCTGCAATTTGAATTTCGATTTGATGTTTGTTCTAACAATAATAATAATCGATATCTGTGAAAATAAATAAAATATTTCACAATAATAAACATAAAAGATATGCAAAACAAGTTTCTAAGCAATGAACCAAATTAAGGTGAATTATTAAATATGTATTTACAATAAAGTACCATCAAGCTGGCAGAGAGCCACCCACTATTATGCACATTCTACAAACGAATCCAATAATTGTAAGTGAAACATTTTTTAACTGATTTAAAGCCCTAGTAGTAGTGGATAGTTTATAGGTGTAGTATTTTGATATATCTCACCCAAATATAGGGCATACATACGAGGTCTGTTCATAAAATAACCGAATTTTATTTTTTAAACTTTGTTATTAATTTTATACATTACGAGTATTGTCCTTGACTTCTTCAAAGTACTTTTCTCCCCTATTCACACACTTTCCTCAGCACCAATTCGCGAAGCAGTTCTGGATAGCTTCTTTTGAAATGCTCTTTAAAGTCTGTAACGAGAATGAAAGTTTCATCATCATTGGATTGTTCAAGGAGTTGCCGGCAAGCGTCCACACGATTTTCTATCTGTTGTTCGGTCATCAAAGGAAGAACAAATTTTGCTGCAACTTGATGCATGTTCAATTTTTCACTCAAAATTTCATGACATGACCAAATTGAGATGCTAACCTTTTCTGCAATTTCTCTGACAATCAATCGATGATTGGCAAGTACCAGATCTTTGATTTTCTGAACGTGAGAGTCATCAAGTCGAAAGCCTTCAATTGACTGACGATCACCTTTAAATTATGAAAACTATTCGTAACATTACGTACGATTCAGATCATCATCTCCGTAAGCTTGTTTCAAAAGTTGAAAGTTTTCCCCTGTTTCACACAAAACGTTATCTAAAATTATAACAGAGTCTCTTAAAGGCAAGGAATTTGATGTCGCTATAGTTTAACATACGTGTTATTTGTCTAATTAAAATGGACGACTTAAGCAAGATATACCCTAAAATTATTTTTGGGTTAAGACAATCGAAGAAAGATGAGAGATCTAAGTAATCCATTCGATTTGCTTGATCAGAAATTTAGAAAATTATTTAGACTAAGGAAATAGTCAATACGGCAATTTATTAAGGAATTAAGACCATTTTTGGTAGCTCCTCAGCGACATACAAGTATCCCAACAAAGCTAAAAGTAAAATTACTAGTTATTTT